GGCGGAGATTGACGCTGCCATTTACCACCTGCCAAAGAGCATCCTGACAGAGGCGTTTCTGAGGGGCCGGGGAGACACTTGGGTATCCATTGGGATGTGCAGACTCGCATAAATAACCATGGGACAGCTAGAAATGCTGAGTTGAGGGTGGCAGGAAGAAAGGCTGCCCAGAAAACGTCTTTTGAGCTGAGAATTGATGGGGATGGCTTGGCAAGACGATGCACCACTTGGGGGATTGGTGTGCAGACGGCTTAAGAGACGGGTGTGGTACAGGTGCTTCTGAGCAGAACTGGGGAACGAGGCATAAATTCTAATATCCCATTCTTTCCCCTGATGACAGCTGAAGCAGCAAACCTCCCTCCCTTGACAGAGGCCCAGAAGAACAAACTGAGGCACCTGTCAGTCGTCACTCTGGCTGCCAAGATCAAGGTAGTGGCCCTGTTTTTCCTGAGCTCTCCTCCCACTGGGATTGTCTGGTGCTAGTTACCATCGTGTTTCCACAGTGCATCCCCTACTCGGTGCTGCTGGAGCAGTTGCAGCTGAAGAACGTGCGGCAGCTGGAGGACCTGGTGATTGAGGCTGTGTATGCAGATGTGCTGCGAGGGAGCTTGGATCAACGGAACCAGCGCCTGGAGGTGGATTACAGCATTGGGAGGGACATCCGGAGGGAGGAGCTTAGCACCATCACCCGCACATTGCAGGAGTGGTGAGGAGGAAGCCCCCAGTACTAACACCCCAAAAAGATTGCAGGAGTGGCCGCTGGCTTCCCTGGATCCTTTGTGTGTTGCTGAGGGTGGGTGGTGTTGGGAGGTGACCTACTCGATCCCCATTCCCATACTCCAATGGAAAGTAATTTTCCAAAAGTAATTCCCCTATTTGTGTCTGAGGGGTGATGGGGATGCAGCAGCCTTGGCACAGTGCTGGCAGCTGGCAGGAGGCTTCATGAGTGTTTATCTGTAGTTCTTAACCCAGGATGGCTTTGTTACGTGTCCCCCTCCCAGATAATAATGTAATTCCCTGCGTTATTACATCAGACTCCTGCCCCTGTATCTTCCCTGCCTGGCATAGCTGTCACTTCCCAGTTATTTTGGAGTTGAAATCTGCTGTCTGTCACGTTTGTCTCTGTGCTGTGCCAATTCCCTGGCCTGTTCAGTGGTGTGTCTCCTCTCCAGGTGCCAGGGCTGCGAGGTTGTGCTCTCGGGCATTGAGGAGCAGGTCAGCAGGGCCAACCAGCACAAGGAGCAGCAGCTGGCCCTGAAGCAGCAGATTGAGAGCGAGGTGAGTGCCTGCAGCAGGGAGCAGCCAAAGGCCCTGCCTTTAAACAGCTGGAGCCACTATGCTGTGTTTGTTACAGTCTTGCTGGAGTGAGGCATTGCCTTCTCCCCAGGCCAGACCCCCCAGGGACTTGTGCCTGAAGAGGAGTCCTAAATCAGCTTAATACTCCTCTGCAGTGCAGGGGCCTGGACAGATGTTGGCTCTTTTGCTTGATGGCAGCTTGCAGCTCTTAGCTCCAGGGCTGCCTTTAGAAAGAAATTTTAAAAAAATTCAGAGGGCAACTGAAAAAATCCATAGCCAAAAAATCTCCAGCTTTGGGAAACCCATTGGCTCTTGCTTTGCTGCTGTTGCAGGTGGCAAACCTGAAGAAGACCATTAAAGTGACAACAGCAGCCGCTGCAGCAGCCACGTCCCAGGACCCAGAGCAGCACCTCACGGAGCTCCGGGAGCCGGCCCCTGGCACCAACCAGCGCCAGGCGAGCAAGAAAACCTCCAAGGCCAAGGGGTGAGCAGTGGGTGGGGGAACACCAGTGCACTTTCCTCTGTGCACCAAGGAAGGGAGTGAGATATGAACCACTTCGAACTGTTATTTTTCGTTTTTTTTCCCCTGTGTCCGCAGGCTCCGGGGCAGCACGAAGATTTGGTCTAAATCAAACTAGCTGGATCTCCCTTCACAACTGGGAGGGTGAGAGGAAGAGATTTGGGGGATGGAGGGGTAGCAGGGGTCCCAAGTGTGATGCTTCTGAGCTCTTCTCCGAGACCCATCTTGCCAGCTAACTCTCCTGCATGTTTGTTCTCTTTTCTTTCTCCTTCACCGACCTTGCAGGCAGCGTCTCCCTCCTTTTCATCGCAGCATTTCACACTCTGAGCTTCAGGTTGTACGCCTTGCTGTTTCCCCAACCGCCCAAGCCCCCGTCGCCACGGCCACGTGTTTCTCTCTTTCTCTCTCCCTGTCTTTTGACAGGCCAATTTCAGGAGCCACAAGGTGTGACAGTCACCTTGGCACCCCCAGGGCATCACAGAAGCTTGGAAAGAGGGTGCTGGTGCACAGCAGTCGTTCTGGCTCCATGTGACCCCCTGGGATACTTTGCTCCAGGACACAGTCTTTGATTGTTTAATCTTTGTTTTGCTAGGTGGGAGGGTAGTTTTTGAAGGGATTCTTTTAAAAAATATATAAATATATTATAAATATATATAAAACAATAAAAATATAGATCTATGGACATACCTATATAAACCTGCGCTCCTGTGGGTGGCACCTCTTTGCCTTGTACACCAGTTCTGGAGGTTCCAAAATAAGCTGTGACATTAAGAGCCTTTGTCCCATTTTGGGGTGGAATATCCTCTCAAAGGTTCCCTTCTCAAAGGTAGTATCTCTATTGGGATGAGAGTCCATAAAACAGAAATGAATGATAAATCTTATTTAAAGTGTTCCTTGTGTGGTTGATTTTCCTCTAGACTCTCTAAAAGGTGATTTTCAGGTAGTGTCAGAGGAGGGTGCAGAGACTGAAGAAAAAGTCCTTATTTGTGTCAATACTGTGTGTCTTGTGATCCTGGACAGAATGGAAAGTGATGTGGGGACTTGCCTGACAGGTGGAGGTAACAGAGTCAATGCCCACATGTGTGAGTTCTCACAGGATGGATGCTGCACAAGCTGTTCTCGGGTGGTGGTGATGTCTGGTTGGAAAAAAAAAATCCAAATCAGTGAAAGTGACTCCTGTGAGATGCCCAGGAAAAAAACTAACTCAGATTCTTCAAAGGATGCCTCCTCGGGGCTGGCTTGGAGCCAAGTCAGACGGGTGTCAGTGTCACACTACCTCTCCATGACATGTAGCTGATGTAAATGTAAATTGACACCGTGACTCCCACCCCCGCTTGGTTCTGCGCCTTGTGCCAAGACTAAAATTTGATTCCCTGAACCTGTGTTCCTGTGTGTGAGCAAACCACAGAAAAAATAATCCAGTGAAGGGAAACTGGGGGCTTTGTCTCTATGGGGCCATGCTGGGTTCACTGGCTGGAGTGGGTTTTCTCCTGGGTGAGCTCCCTGTGCAGACAGGTGAGAGCTGGAGCCAAGGTGTGAGCAAGTCTTGTGAAGGGGAGGGGGGCGAGTCTGTGCCTGTTTTGGTGGTAACAGGGTGCCATCCCAGATCTCAAACCCCACAAAAGGCAGGTTCAATGCAATATCCCTGCTTTGCTAATTCCAGGCTGCTGTAACACAGCCCTGACTGTCAGTGGGAAAGCCCTGTCACCCGAAGCCATGAACTCCGCAGCAGCTTTGTTTGCTCCTCTGTGTGTGGTCACAGGGCTGGGTGTAGCAGCTGCCTCTGCTGGGGACAGGGATGTGCCAGCTCTCCTGGGGTGATAGCTCTCACTGGCTGGCGTCTCCCAGGAGCTCGGGCAGCCCCACACCTTCCCCCATCGAGCACCTTGGCTGTAGTTGCAGTGCCAAGTGGGAGAGTTTTGGTATGAAGTTGGCCAAATGGGAGACACAAATCTGGCTGCTGGAGCACATGAAGGGATAGCTGGGCCTGGGTTGTGTATGCCCACCTAGAGAGGCCTAACAAATTTGGGAGTTTCCCTGATGAATCCTGTCCTCCAGAAATTGTTGGGAGGCATTGTGACAAAGCTTCCAGCTTTTGTTTAAATCACCTGAGCTTTCTTCCCTCTGCGTCACATCACCTTCATCTGTCTCTGTCAGGGAGCAGAGGCACTGCACTCGCTGTGTTTGTGATTGTCTGCAGGAACAATAATGCCCATATGTATCAGATCTTCAGCTCCCTGGGAAGGGCTAGTCTGGAGCTGAGGTGCCAACAGGGGAGGAGATACCTGTCAAGCACCTGCCACATGTCTGGCACCTCACACCCTTTGAAAGATGTGCTGCTTGCAAAGCCATTGGGGTGTGATGAGAATGGGCTTGGATGGAGCTGAGCAGTCGGACACAGCACGTGTCCTAACAGGCACTGGCTGACATCCAGCGGGAGCTGGGCTGGAGCAGTGTCACCTCCAGGGAGAGCTGAAGTTACCAGTACTGGAGGAGGATCTTTGTGTCCCACCAGAACCTGCTGCTCAGGAGGAGCAGCTGTAACAGCTCCTTGCCCCGAGTGCCTCATCTCCTCTCTGGTCTGCTGGGCTTTGCTATCTTTAACCAAACGGTGGCTATTAGACACAAAGGCTCTGTTTCAATGCCCTGAATCCAGTTTAAATCCAGGCTGCAGATCCCAGGGGGAGTTGGAAGGCAGCACTGAGAGCTCCAGGCCGGCTGTGTGTGACAGGGCTTGTGTGATGCCCTGTGCAGCAAGGGCCAGGCAGGGCAGTGCCCGAGCTCTGTGCCACGCGCTGCCATCAGCCTTGGGAGCACCAATTCCCACGTGGGTGACAGCAGCCAGCGTGTGGACCAGTGTGGGACTGGTGGGGCTCACCACTCCAGCCCCAGGCTGTACTGAAGCCCCAGACTTGGATCGTCACAGCTCAGTCCCAGCTGGCACAAATCTGGCTCTGTCCGTGTGCCATAACTTTGTTACTTGACAGCCATGGCCTCCCCACCATGTCCCAGGGTCAGCTCATCCTCTGGGAGCAGCATTTGCCATAGATTGGCATTGCTCCCCCTTCCCGTTTGCCTGTATCCCCCTCTCAAGGCTGGCTGTGTTATGGATTTTAGGAGAGTTTGGGATTAAACACAGCTCTGAAAGTCTTCCATTTTGTTTACTTTTCAAAGGGAGCACCTTTTAAGACCTCCATTAAGAAAAGGAAAGCTGGAGGTAGCACATAAAATTACTTCAGACCTTTGGTAGGACTGAAAAATAAATGAGAGGGTTGCAGTGCAGAATGAAAGTATTGCTGGAAATTGCCTTGCTGGATGGCAAACAGAGGGCAGGAGCATAGGTTTGCCTTTGCCCTTCACCTGAAAACCACGGGTTTTATTTTTCTGCTCGCTTCAGCCGTGACTCTGAATTTCAGTTGGAGAAGATGTGAAGATTAATTAATTAGTTAACATTTATAAATCACTTTGAAGATGGCAAGAGTGAGGTAAGTACTGAGCATTATAAGTTTTCATTTTAAAATGTCTTTATGCTTTAACCCATTTTTTTCCAAAGAAAAGGCCTGAGTAGAGAAGAACAGAAATACCTGGCCACATTAAGCCCTGCAAAGGAATCAGGTTTAGGGGGCTGTGGAAGAGGGTGCAGAGAAATGTCTGTCCCAAAATGAGGAGCAGGAGATCTGCCACCCCCAGCACAGAAAGTCTAACAGCTCTTGCACAGTGATTCATCGCAAACCCTCTTTGGGTAACTGCATGGGGCTTTCACATGGGTTCAGGAAAGGGAGGAGGCAAGAGAGGACCTGAACTGCTCTATCATGGATGTCCAACTTTTGCCAGCCACCTCCAGCTGCCCCGTGGCAAGAGGTAACATGGGATTGGGGTTAATGTTGGTAATTATTGCACTCTTGGGACACAATTTCCTCTGGGGAGCTTGCTGCTCCCCTTCTTGAAGGTGGTGAAGGTGCTGGGCAGCTGCTGCCAGCAGCTTGGCTCCTGCAGCAGTGTCCATCCATACCTGAAGGGTGGGGAGAAGTGTCACAGCTGGGCAGACACCCTGCAGGGCTTCTCTAAGGTACTCCCCGTCCTGCACTGCTCTGTGCTGAGGTACCTCTGGAGTCACAGATGGTCCTTGTGTGCTCAGAAGGAGTGAACATTTTCTTTACTGGGGTTGCTGAGGCTGCCCTTGCCTCTGTTCTCCAGAGGAGACCTTTGGCAGGGTGCTTTGTTCCCTGAAGAATGATGGGCTGGTGTGGACCCAAGTGCTGTTACACCTTACCAAGCCTCCTTTGCTTGGAGGGGGCCACATCTCTGGATGGACAGCAGGTTTCCCCCCCCCCAGGCCTGTCTGGGGCAGCAGGGAGGATGGCAGCCCTGCCCAGCAGCAGAACTTGTGCCCACCACCTGCATCCTGTGAGCTCCTGGTGCCAGCTGGGGAGTGCTGCAGAGGCCGTGGCCGTGCCAGCCAGATTGCACCTGCTGGTCTGCAGGGTGATCACACATCTGTGTGGTCCCCAGAGCTCCCTGCAGGGATGCCTTGCCTCTCCTGCACCAGGGTGCTCCCCTGAAGGCCCTTTGTGCCAGGGGGGTGCCGCAGTCTGGGCTGTGGGGAGCTGGCACAGATGGTGTGTGTCCCCCTCTGCTGCCCGTGGGGCTGTACCTTTGCACAAAGACCCCCCTAACAGCAGCCACTGAGGGCTGTGCCGGCTGTTTGCCACAGCTGAGCCATCCTTCCTGGGATGGGGCCCTGCCTCTGCAGGATTCTGATGCAGAGCAAGGTAGAGTAGTCAGAAGAATCTCACAGCTCATGTCAGCTGCTGCAAATGTGTCTCTCAGATCTCTGACATCCTTCTTGTCTTCTTTGTATGCCCTGGAATAGCTGCTCATTTTCCTTCTGTGACCCCTTTCCCTTTCTGCCATTCTCTCCATGAGAGTCTGTCTGTGTTCCCACCTGCAGGGCTCTTCTTTCCTCATCCCTTTTCCTAGTACTAGTCACTGCTTAGCTGAAATACTCATATAATAAAAACCACCTGTTTTCTCTGCTGGTTCCACAGGCACCCCATCTTTTGGGTGCTTTTCTCTCATCTTCTGCACTTTTCCAGAAGCACCCCTCTTGATCCAGTGTGGAACTAGGCTGGACTATTGTCTGCCTCCTCTGCTGGTGGCAAGCTCTTCTCCTGCCAAGGAAAGGAGTTCATTTGCAAAAATTCTTTGTGCAGTGTGCAATTATATTCCTGTTGTGATGAATTCAATAGGCAGCAAAATGTCAGCTGGATTCGAGAGCTATGACCCTTTTACAGTAGCAAGAATGTTCAGAATTCCTGTAGCACTTGTGCACATGTTAAAAACTGCCCTGCACCCTCCTGTTCTGAGGACAAGTAAAGCCCCACCCCCTTCAGGTCAGGAAAAAATGTTTCTGGGGAGGCTTTGGCTGTATCTGCCTCTGAAGTATTTAGCACTGGTTTCAGGATGTGGGAAGATAGATGATCTCTTTGGTGGGAGCAAAAGCAAGGAGGCTCCTGGTGACCGAGTGTGATCTCTCACCACTATGGTCTCACAATCCCTTGCAAAAGCTTCTCAGGTGCCAATCCCAAGCTGGTAAATTCTACAGTCCCCACTGGTGCTCTTGGCAGGCTGCCCCAGAACCCAACTGCTCTAGTGGTTTAAAGTTTTTTTAATTTCCAGCTTAAGTGAATTCACAGCTAGTTGATATTCTCTTGTGCCTGTGCCAGCCTGGCTCTAGCTGAAGCTGTTTTTCCTCCCTGGTGTTTATTTCCCTTGAGGACAGACTTCACTTTGCTTAACTAACCAAATCAGCCCCCTCGTGCACTGTGAGCTCTCCTTACTCTCTTACTTGCTCTTCAAATAGAGTGCAAAAGTGCTCTCTTACCTGCACT